AGCACCCCTGACAAAGGCAGAGCTATAACCAGCAAGAAATTTATATGAACACAAGAGTGTGGAGAGGGGAAGCAAGTGCCAACAGAAATATAGTTTTGACTTCAGGCCTGTTGCCTGTGGTGTAAGTGGTGGGGCAGTAGGTGAGAAAAGGATGAGGACAGGACTGAAACAGAAAGGAAGAAGAAATCTAAGCAGTGTTAAAATACTCATGGAAATAGGTAGTGAAGTGTGAGTGATCAAACTAATTTTACTCAGGAACAATAGTAAGTATGTAAGCTGTGCAGCTCTGCCACCACAGCATAACCAGTACAGAGCTCAGATTTATAGATCTAAAACTTACGATTGCCTTCTGGTTCCCACACAAAGTACTTGGCCAATAAACTGGCAAAAAAATGCTATGCTCCTCTTACACACCCAAAGCCAGCAACTTTTATGTTGTCCAAGGTGTTTTGAAAATAAAACAAGGCGACCATTAAGTTGGCACTTGATAAGATAAAGCAAATGGCTATTTTGTGTGCAGACACAGTAGAGACCAAAGGGTCCAGGCTTGTTTAAAAACTCCTCATCGCTTTAGGGATGCGGATGACTTGCATCACTCTTCTTGGTGTCAGGTAATATTAGCACTTGATGCTCATCTGAAAGCAATACAGACACGCTCACTGAAAATTTACCATATGGTATAGGATAAACCAGCTCAAACAAAAGTGACAAGCCCACTGTTAATATTTATTCCCAACTTCAATTTGAGAGAAGGTTTAGTACCCTTTCTTTGGCAAGCGAGCAAGATGAATTCATCAGTGCTACTGATCCTGCCATACCCAGGGTAAAAGCCACCTAGAATAGCTTGAGAGAGCGGTCTCATCCGAACCCAGGGAGGTCACAGCACTGGAAACTCCTCAAGAGATGGGGAACGAGGAGGCAGAGACTTCCCACTGAGTATCAAACATGTCTACTAATCAAAACCAGGCACTCCATTCCAAACCTGAGCAGATGGCATCCCTAGGATTATCACCAGCAGCTGTCAATGCAGTGATTATACATTGAAATTGCACAGCTAATGTACTGTATAATTTAACTAGACTGAAGAAGATTAGGGAGAGGGAACATTATGAAGAGATTTGGAGCTTATATTTTCCTAATAATTATGGAGGCATCCCACAATCTTCAGCGCAAAAGATACATTTAGATTTGCTCTTTAAGGCCAGACTAAAACCCACATTATACACTTCAACATCTTCCAATTCAAATATGCTTAGAGACTTCCTGGGCCAATCGAGTCCTCTGTACTGCTTCATTTTTCAAAGATTTAATGATTTTGTCAGAGGAAACACTTAATTAGCTTTTTCAGCATCCCTCCTAATACACATTGACAGAGCTAGGAGACAGAAGAAAATAATTTTTGATCTGAAAAAATTAACCTTTTAAACAATGGGGAATTTCCAAATATATATGTTTGTCTACACACATGCAACTTTCCTTTTTCTTGAGAGCCAGAAAAAGCAGGATTTTCAGCAGAAGAACATAGGAATACATGAAAGGAAAAAAAATGCATATGGGTTTCCTTCATTGACTTGGGTTTATCCAAGCTATTCTGCTTATGCATGAAATAGTGTTACAGATTTTTCTGGTCTTCTAAATTTTAAAGCATAAAAAATGCAGTAGGAAATAGGTGTTTCAGTTTTAGGGACCACATTTACAGCTAATCTGGTGCAGCAACACAACGGTGACGTGAGTACCTCTGATTTACACTGCCTGAAGACCTAGCTGGTTATTGCTTATGTCTATAGAAGCACTCAGAGATATTTTTAGACCAATCTTTCTTGTTAACATTCTCTGCATAATTCATATGTCCTTATTCTCTTTGGGGCGGAGCAGACATCCAAACTGGGGGAGCAGAGGCAAGCAGGATCACCCAGCAGTCCATGCAGAGAACCAGGGTCAGTCAGCCTGGCTGGTGTCAGGATGGGGAAAAATACTGCACATAATGCTAGGAAAAATCTCTTGGCCACTTGTGAAAATTTCCAGTTTATACAAACTGATTCCTTAGGTCTCTTAAAGAGGTACTCTGGCAGTTTAAGATTATTAGGAAGGATGAGCTTACTGGCACTTCTGCTAGGTATGTGGCTGACATCCACGCAGACTGCTGGGTCAATTGCATTCCTTATTAATTCTTTGGTTAGCAGGCCCACAGTTCTTGTTTTCCATGTAACAAGGGTCCTGATTACCCCACTATTTCAAAGTATAACTGGGACATCTGTATAAACATCATGGTTCATCTAAAACGCAAGACATTAACAGAACTAGGCCACTAGAATTTTTCCACAAGTCATGGTGGCAGCACCTATCTTTCACTTTTTCATTTTCCCACAGAAAAGATTAATCACCATTGCTGTATGCAAGAATTTCTTGCTAACAATGCATGTTTCCACTTCCTTATCATTAGATTCCCACTGTGTTATGAGGAACTGCCTCTCAGATACCACATGGTCTCAGGGCTCGTGCGCCAGGACCGATGATGTTCCTTTATTCAGTTTTCCCCTCTGATCAAGCTGCACAATAGGTAAAGGAGAATCAGTTTAACACCTATTGGTCTTAAGGTGCTGTGTTATACAGTGTTCCGATATTTTAATTATTTTGGAGTTCTTTGGGTTTTGAAAATGTTATTTCCACGTTTCCCCCACAGGACTAAAAGAAACTACAGAAGGTTCTAAAGAACAGTCACTACCAACATTTACCCACATTGCCTTGTGGGGTTCACGTGCCTCTGTGCAAGGTTATACACAAGCATGCAGGCACAGCACGAGCACACTGACACTGCTTGATGCCAGATGTTCTATTTATAGCCCCACAGACCAAGAAAAACACGATACAGCTTTATTTAAGGGCATTAGCACACATTCCATATTAAACTCAAATGCCAGTAAGCAGGCAAGATTCATCTTACAGCAACTTCCACCTTAAGATGCTTCTCACAATGCCAGTGAATTATACATGATCATCAGAAAAACAATTCCCCTCAAAATGCTGCATGCAAAATCCACAGTGGATATTGATATTTTATTTAAAGTAGAATTAAATAAGGAACTGAACAAAATTCAGTATTCCAACAATAATTCCTTTTTTTCCTAGGGACACCTCAGAACAGCCTTTCATTTTGAGATCATGTACTAGGAACTTAAAAATATATACTTCAATAATTCTGTAACTAGCCCCAAGTTATGCTAAATGACCAAAGCTGTTTTCCTGTCCACAGACTTCTATGTTTTTATTGTTAGTAACACTAACATTCGGGTGTTACAGTAGCCTAAAACCAGTAGCATTTCAACATTCAAATACTTTTCTTTTGATCAATAAACAGCTGAAAGGCACTTGTACCAGTGAAAAACAGAGTAAGAAAGAAAGCAATATTCAGATTATATTCACATTCTTTCTTTTGAGAGCTGATGGTGTCTTTATCTCATCTTTCAGCAAACTCAGTGCTGCCCCCCACCCCCGGTAACACCACAGCTCTGCCAGCCTGGGGCAGCTGGACACCATGTACTCATGGTTAACCTGAAGAGCCTACTTGTTAACTTTGGCTTGTGCTTGTCTTATACTGTATCTAAACTTAAGTCTTAGTATTTACTCCATTGCTTAGCTGAACACAGGTGGATTTAAGCAGGGACCGCTCCGTCCTGAAGGCCAGCCAGTAAGGATACACATTAAATAACTGCATATACCTGAAGCTGAAATCCTGAAAATACACCATCTACTACATGAAGCTGTGCACCATTGTCTTGCACATGAGAATAGGAAAACTGTTTTGGCATGTACATAACATTTTCCCTTTCTCCTTCTGCTCTGCTTTCCTCCCTTCTCCCCAAAAAATCCACACAAATCTTGCCAGTCTCATAATTTGCCTTAACTATGGCTTGCACTATGTTTTCATGAACAAAAGAAAACCCTGCAAACCTTCAGTTACAGCTGACAGTGCAACAGATACTGGTGATGGGCTGAAATCCCAGTGACTGTTATGGCTGGTTTATATATTAATCCTATACATCAGTCATACTGATTTAATGGCATATGGATTCACCGCAATTATTTTCAGATTATCTTTATCAAAGCATTAGCAAGATAATTTAAAATGCTATTTAGCAAGGGAGCAGGGGGAAAATGCCAGTCAGTCCCAAGCTCAGGTTCACACAGCTCTGCCTAAGAGTGCTCTCGGTGTTCCACCAACACCAGCACTTCACGGTTTACACTCCCCTGCTAGTGCCAGCAGCAGCCCTGACCCAGTGCTTGTGGTAAAACGATAGCAGTTTTAACTGCTGTGTTTCCTAATCCTGTTCAATTGTGTTCGGTGGCATCATACTACTCCTGTCTAGAAAACGCAGCTTTTCTTCACTGTTTGGTCAGACATCAAGTTTTCAGCATCCCCAAATGGGCAAGGCCAAAAAATAAACATGCAGAAGTCAGAACTGGGCACCTCAAATGTTAAATTTTAAATTATTTCAGCCCTTTTGAAATAAGACAACCACATTTCAGACTAATCCAGAAGAAAAGACATAATGTAAAAAGGATTCTACTTTGGGAGGATTGTTCCCTTCATGAAGCCTTTACCAACAGACAACACAACATCCCTTACTTCAGAAAAGCAGCACCATAATAATAGACTGAATTAAAGCTGAGGACAATTGGGTTGTTAATAGAACTCTTCCCAAAAGTCATCAGGTTTTCCTACCATGTCTCCTAGTCTACACACACACTTTTTAAAGTACAATATGGTAAATATCAGAAAGTACAAAAGGAGTCCAGTGATAACAAAAAACACAGTAGTTTTTTTTTTTTAATTCAATTTTTTGCAAAAATAGGACTGTTCTTCCATGGCTATGTAGTATTTCAGAAACTTTTTACACAACTGTGATACCTCTAGCTAATCCTGATCATGTTTTCCCCTCTCCTTTCTGTATTTTATTTTATACCAGTAAGAGATTGTTCAGATTTCACAACTCTAAATCATGTTGGGAAAAAAGTTGGTGACTGCACAGAAGCGAGGGGAGACAAGAGCCCTGTGCCTGGGACTGGGAATGGTCACATGCTCCATGATGATGTACTTTTTTATTGGGATCACCATTGTGCCATTCTACACTAAAAGGTAATAACAATCACTTTGTTTAGAAATACAAAGCCATTTGTTTGTCCTGTCCACATCAACTACAATTATTAAAACAGTGCCAATATATATAAACAAATAATATGTTCTTAAAGAGCTCATAAGAATTTAAGACAGAAGAAAAGAGAAAGAAAAACGTGAACCAAGAATTCATCAGGCATTTACAGGTAAGCACAAGAAAGAGGGAATGATCATCTTCAGGGCTAGAATGAGAACAGACTAAAACACATTTACTATGAAAACTATGAAACAGCATTATCATGCTTATCAAAGCTTGATAATGGAAAGCTAAGTCTTGCATAAATGAATAAAAAAAAGCTTTTCTATGTGCAGGAGGGTGTGTTGGTTTTAATAAAACTACGAAAACTTGATCAACAGAAGTCATGGTAAAGTTGTTCAGTCAAGAATCTGTATCATTTCTCCAAATCAATCATCATGAGAAACCAGCACCTTCAACAGCCCAGTCTACCACAGCAAATGTTGCAGAATACAACAAATGCTGAAGAAGTTACTATTACCCACATTTTTATTTCATTTTGCGAATTCTGCCTCCACACACAAAGCTGGTTTGCACAAAACCAAAGTAACAAGACTAAGAATGCAGCTCACTTTGTCATGCTTGCAGATTTTGACAGAGAAAGCAAGTGCATCCACCTCATTCTTCTTGCTAGGAACACTTAAGCTCAAAAATGTTTGAGAAACACTATCCTTAAAACAGCATATTTCACATTTATTTTATGTATTTTCCAGCTCCTGATTACATTACAAAATACACTTGCATGTAAAAAGATTAGTTTCTTAATAACTGTGGTGAGACTGTTTCTTTACTTTTTTGCCACCAAAGTGTAACTGCTGTAAGCAGAAGCTTACTGTGGTATCAGTTCATAAAAGAGTAACTTCTGAGGAAAAGGTATAAGTAACAGCAAAAAAAAAAGGAAGTTTTGCCAGACAAAATCCTGCTACTTATTCATGCAAAAGGTCCATGTAATAAGGGGGGGCGGGCACGGGAACTGGTCTGAGTTCTGAGAATTATTGAATTAGTCAAAGTACTTCTGAGAAATCAAAAGCTCCACTATGCTTAGCCAGATTTCGAGTAATAAGGTCAAGCTTTATCAATGTACCGCACTTCCAAATGTTTACTACCAAACAGTAATCCATAGCAATTTTTCTTTCTTGAATAACACTTGAAGCTGATTACAGATGGGGTTAGAATCTAACTTCAAACTGCAGAATGTGTAACAACAACAACAAAAATGCTTTCCTGCACTGCTTTCCTATGGCAGCCCTTTGCCAGGCACAGCCATTGATTCCGGGTGGGCAAAGTGGACGGCACCAGGACTGAGCAGCCACAAACTCTACCCACGCCACCACTCACAGCTGGCGCACACAGATGCGTCTCCAGCATGCCAACGCTTTTAAAAGCAATACCTTTTGTTTTGTAGCATTTGGACAGCACAAACTGTGTGCAAGCTACTCAAAGCCAACATCAAGGATGAAGTTCTCTGCCCAAACAGCGAAGGCTCAGAGGATGAGGATATCTTTCCTTATCCCTGTCTACAGGTGTGGGTTAATCTGACAGCCTCAGGACAAGAGGTTATGCTGTATCATACCGAAGATACACTGGAAAAAAATCCTAAGGTACTCACAACACAGACTGAATGATCGCTCTCTGCTGCTATCTAACACCTTTGAGGAGAAGGGCTGCTTGTTTTAAACCAAGCAGCAGAGTAAGAGGAGGAGCTGTTCATCTTTTACATGTTAATATCTGTGGCTAGACCAAGGCATTTTTAAAATATTCCAGAAAGTAGTTTTGGATTTTCTTTTAAAGATTACAAACATTAAGTTAGGACTTGTTAAGCAATTACACCAACTGAACACTAATATTTAACCTTTATGAACATTTAAAAATACATAAGTTTCCGAGTTGAAGACCAATGGTAAGAAATAGTTTATAAGCTGTGGTTTGCTCAGGTGCTTGTTGAATTATCACAGGAGAGCATGTTTGTTTTACTCAATCTGACTTAACTACAAACTCTGCATTAGAGTATCTGTTATAACAAATCACCTTCATTTCCTTTGCAGTGCTCGTATGTCCCAGGCAAGTCCGAGAACTCTAAAGAAGTTAAAGCACAAATAGAAAAAATTGCAAGCAATTTCAAAAAATACCAGACTTTCCCATGTTACTATGACCCAGGAGGAAAGCAGATCAATGTCATTTTAAGCAGACTTTATCCCCCGAAAGGCCTCCTCTTTGCTTTCCTTTGGCCTACACTCATGTTTACTGGTGGATGTCTGATTATTGTACTGGTAAAAATTAGTCAGTATTTTTCTGTTCTTTCTGCTTGGCAGTAGAAAATAAATATCTAGCATAGATCGGTGTAAGAAATTAAAGTGCCTTTGTTCTGTATGTCTTTATCGGCATTTTGTGACTTTTAATATACCTGGTGTCAATCTAAGGGCAGGCATTCCAGAAAACTGAATGGCACCCACCATGGATGGCAATCCATTGCATGAGAACAAAATATAAAATGGATTCCCAAGAATGTGTGCAAATACCTCCTAAGAGCATAGACTGAGTTACTATCCATTAATTCCTTGGGTTTTCTGAGGTACAGTTGCTTTACAGAGCTACAATTCAAGGTTACTGCTAAACTCTTGTTCCACATTTTAGACAGAGTCCTAATTTTCTGTCTGGTTGAGACCAGTTGGTTCCAGATCCATACACATCATTACTGACAGACACACCCTTCATATACTTCTTTACCAATACAGTATGTATTCATTGCATACTCCTCTTGTCTGTTGAAAAAAGAATTTTTGTTACGGTCCAAAGAGATATTTGTTATCATGGATCTCTGCTTTTGGGAAAGGGGAGGGGTAAAACCACCCCAAACCAAAGTATACACATACAGACATTACAAAGTTTACACTCTAAATATCTAACACCAATTGCATATAATGAAACACATGCATAAAGTATAGGGTATGGTAAAGAAGCTTATATTAGAAGTAAGTATTTGTATTTAACTCAAATCTTAGCTCTGCTTTACTTTGAAACAAGTGTACCATTCAGGGAAGGCTACCTGCACTCAAGGAAGGCTACCTGCCTGCCATTTGCACATATTACAAAACTGTTAAGGAAGTCACGATATAAAGAGTATGAATTCTGCAGTAGAAAACATCCGTGATGTCTTATTAAATGCAGTAATCTAACCTAACCACAGAAGTTTGCATGCTTAGCACAAAGATATTTCACAATAGAGACTTTGTTTCTGGCACTGCAACTCTTAGGAGTGTTCTGATGCACATATAGACACATTTTCTGTTCTCGGAAAGTAACTATTTCTCAGCCAATTTTCAAATTGCTAGCGGACACAGGACGAACATATACTTCCTGCATGCTGTATTTGACTGGCACTTAGAACACAACTAGTACAAGCTTTTTCATCACACAGCTGATGAACTGTATAGTAGCAATCATTCATGGGAAAGTTTCAGGGCTTAGGTACAAATTTAAATTCATTAAATTATATAGAAATAAATTATTCTCATTAATGTGGTACAATTCTCTATTGTTTATTGTAAAAAAGAGGACAGCTGAAATACTAAC